GGTTCGAATCCGCCATTCGACTACTGGCGTGAACCACTCCTAACACAAGCGTTTTAAACTTACCAGAAATCTGCAGGGATAAATAATAGTAGTTACAGTAGTCCCTTGCAGATGACAACACGAAGCAGTAAGAAAGTAGAAACAAGAATAATCAAAGAAACGAAAATTAAGCTGCATTCAACCGTGGATCGTATATTAGCTGTTACGTTACTTTTCTTTTTTATTTTAATAAAAAAGTAACGAATATTAGTAATGTTAATTAATAGGATTACTAATATTTAAAAAAAATTAATTACAAACTACCTACAATTTGAAGCAGTTAGCGTTAACGGTCATACTAGTATAAACTGTTACAACCATCAGCGTCTTCCACCCTGAGTTTTACAAAACAAAAAACATATTATTTCGCAATAAAATTGAATTACAATATTATTTTGAGAGACGAAGGGTAAATAAGGATACGTGGTAGAGCCATGCTGCAGTTATATTAGTAGTATAGTTGTAGCACGAATGAATCGGCTCGACCGGGGAAGGACCACGCTCTCACAAAATACCAGCGTCAAATAGTGGATTAATGCTGCTGTGTTTCGTATGGTGGGAGACCTTTTTTACTGGAAACCAGGCAATCCACCTAAGTCCTCACGGATGACAATGCATCTGCATTTTGATTCGTAATCGAGAATAGATGTAGATGTCTATGGGCCGCAGCAACCACTTACCATCAGGTGGACTGTGTGCTCGTTTGTCACCCTATCCTATAAAAAAAAAACAAAGGATAAATATTACTTACTTTATTTGCTACATTATGTAAATGATTATTAATGACATAATATTGTCGACGAGCTACAGCAGTTTTATGGTAAATCATTTTATAAACTCTGTTTTTGTATTTTCGTTTTAAATTTGCTTAAAATCTCTATTTTTGTGTTTACGCTGTGTAACAGACATAAAAAGCTGTCTTACAGTAAGTATCAAACATTTCTTAAAAATAAGTTTGGTGCTATGGTTTACTTAGCATAACCTTTAATGTTGCTCTCTGAGAACGTTCTAGGGGGAGCAGAGTAGCCTTTCCAACTCAACCCCAGGTTACAATGCAGTATTGTAATATACTTTGTGCAAGGGCATAGTTAATTTCACATTTCAAGATTTCAAAATCAGCAAAATTTCTTAATTTTCTAAAAATTCGAATTAATTTTCTAATACGACAGGTTAAGTTGGTGATATGTGCTGACCAAGATAGGCAGTAGTTTATTATAAGTCCAAGGTATTTTAAAACAAGTTAGTATTAGCTAGTTGTATTTGTTCTCTTGTTCCCATGTATGTGACATGACATAAAATTCTGCTGGTGGTCGGGTACTGACACGGTGTGTTAAGGTAAAATATATCTTGTGTCTTTTACCATAGAAAGAAAGAAAGAAAGAAAAAATATTTATTTTTGACACACACAAGGCACCAGAACACAGAAACAATCAAAACAAAAAAAAAAGTTACAATTTATGAACAACCAAACAGCCTGTTAAAATTAGGAAAAAAATTATACATAATATATATTGTTAAAACTATTCTACTGCCTCAGGGTGATGCCAAAAGATAGAAACCAATTCAGCATGATGTCAGGTTGGAAACCTAACGCTGATTTTCTGTTGGCCCCCTGGATCATTCGTCTTCACCTCCGAAACCAGTTACCGTGTACTTCCGCAAGAACAATCAGTATACGTGAACTCTATGAAAAAACCATATATAATTACATATATAATAAACGATTAATAAAATATGTATATAATATATAACAGGATACTAATTAAATACTTTATTATTAGCAAGATACTGCGCGTGAAACTGTAACAACATAATAACATCAGCAAAAAATAAAAAATAAAATAAATTAAAATAAAATATAGAACATAAAATGTACCTCTCAAATAAACATCAGATATAGGACATGTTATCATTAGTGTTAACCATGCCTAGGTCTTTTTGTACATTTAACTGTACTGTTAACTGTACTGTTTTAGGTAACTTTTAAAGGTAGTTATAGAGCTTAGCTGCCTAGGATATTATCCACTACATCAATCAGAGCTGTAGTTGTACTACGTCTCTTACGAAACCCAGACTGCAATTGAGGAAGAATGTTCTTTTGCTCAAGATATTCCGTAAGCTGCTGGCAGACAATCTTTTCTAATACTTTTGATAGGCATGGTAAAATGCTAATAGGGCGTATATCTTTTATATCTTTTAGGGAGCGGTCGAACAATAGCTATTTTCCAAAGGTCAGGGAACGCAGAGGTTAAGATTGACTTATTATGAATATATGTATGATCTCTAAAGAGTTAGGTAATGTCATGATTATCATTTTTAATGATAAATTGTCAATTCCTATTGCATTTGATTTTAAGCTGAGAATTACGCGTAAAATGTCGTTCTGACTGACTGATGATATAGTGAATGTTGCATCGCCGAACGTGTGAAATACAAAGTAGGTTAGATAAGACAGTGAAGCTTGTGGTTCTCCTGTTACGTCCAAAAAGTAATTGTTAATTTCATTTGCGTCATTAAAGTGTGAAGGCAATTCTACGGTCTGCTTTGGAGGTAATACTATCCTTTTCAGATTTTTCCAAAGCAATTTTGGATTATTAATTTTGTTATTAAGGCTGTGGCAAAAGTATGCGGCTTTTTCATTATGTAATGATTTTGTCACTAGAGATTTAAGCATAACCATACGCATAACCTTACCAAGTGCATATTCAGTGTAATAGTGGGCTTCTTTCCAGTTTTTACCGTGAAAATTAGAGCTGCATCGCCGGCACATGAAACGATTTTGTAGTTAGGCAACGTAATTTTGCATAAACTATTCATATAAATGAGAAGGAGAGTTGAACCCGGTACGCTACCTTGAAGTAAACGAGGTAGTAGTAGGTAAACTAGTGTGATCTCTTATTTTTACTAATTGCGTGCGATTAGATAAATACAAAGGAAATACATCTAGTACAATCCCTCGTACACCGATTCGACTCCATCTTATAATTAAGTAGGGGAAAAGAGACTGTGTCAAAGACATCAAGAAAAATATATATAATTTTTGACTTATTATCAAGATATTTTGCTATCGTCTCAGTTAGGACTAAAGTTGCATCTTGAGTAAACTTACCTTTTATAAAGCCAAATTGTTTTTCCGAAATAATATTATAACGATGAAGAAAATTGATGATATATATGTCTACAGAGTATATATATATATACATACCTAAATTAAAAAAATCAAGTATTTTAGAAATTGCACTTATTACAAATATGGGGTCAGTAGTTTTCAACACTGTCCCTTACACAAATTCTGGGTATAGGTGAACGAAAGCCCTTGTTCAGACATCTGAAAAAAACCACTTGTGGCTGGACCATTTATTAAATTTGTTATGATTGCTTTGATCTCATCACAGTCTGTGTCTAGCAACACCATAGAATCTTTCAAACATTACTATGTTTAAAAATGTAATGATGGCCAGAGTATTGCTGATTTTATGATATTGCATTAGCATACGTTGGTCTGATTTTCACAAAGTAATCATTAACAATATAAAAATAATACAGTGGATGGCATATGGTTGTGATATTACCAACCAACCACATTAAAATTTTCTTTTGTTTGATTCTAACACTGAAAGAAGTCGTTCTACCTGATAGATGATATGGCCCCAAGACTAATCTATCGTCGATTATAAATTAAAAATGCAGATGCATTGTCACTCTGGACGACTAATAAGAAATGCTCCGTTTGCAGTGAAAAGGGTCTTCGTTTCTCTACACTCATCATTCGAAACACAGTAGCGTTAAGTTGCTAATTTATGAGAGCGTGTACCTATTCGTGCTACTCGTACAACCATATTACAGACGCAGAACGGCTCTACAAAGAGTAAAATGATATTGTATTATGAAAACCATGGTAGTCTCAGTGTATATTTTTTTTTATAGGATAGGGTGACAATCGAGCACACAGTCCACCTGATGGTAAGTGGTTACTGTGGCCCATAGACATCTACATCTATCCTCGATTACGAATCAAAATGCAGATGTGTTGTCACCCGTGAGGACTAAGATGGAATGCCTCGTTTCCAGTAAAATGGGTCGCCGGTTCTCTACACTCACCATACGAAATACAGCAGCATTAAGCTACTATTTCACGCTGGTATTCTGTGAGAGCGTGGTCCTTCCCCGGTCGAGCCGACCCATTCGTGCTACAACTATACATCTAATATAACTGCAGCATGGCTCTACCACGTTAAAAATATTTATTTGTTTTTAAATGTTTATTAATATTTAGAAACATATATTTTACTAATGTTTCCCTGTACCTAAAATGTGATTGTGTATGATGTGATGTTAGCAGCAGTAAGTGGAGCACACACGCTTGATTTTTTATCAAACTATCAGCAAAATTAGTTACCCAGCTCCTAAACAGGTTGTGCTACATACAACATACAGACAATTAAAAAAAAAAGAATATTAACAATGCTATAAACTATTTACTAATATTCCTCTTAACCACTCGTGGTAAGCTTAAATTGCTTGTGTTACGAGTGGCTCACGCCAGTAGTCGGATGGTGGATTCGAACCCACGACCTTTTTGAGTTCGCGGTCCGCGCCCTACCATTAGGCTACTGTCGCTTCTTAAAATTGATTAAGTTCCTAGTATTAATTTTAAAATAACATTACTTCTTCACCAGTTTTGAAAACACGTTTATATAGCAAATATTCATTGAGCCGCGTGTGGCGGCGTAAGAACATCCGCTAGTCTACACCGCGCCGTGAGTATCGTAAGAGGCGCCAGAGGAGACTGACCAGTAGGTGGGACCGAGGTTTTCCTAACAACAAATTAAAATAACAAATTAAAACTGCTGTTACCAACCCACCTGGCACGCGTGGCGTCTATGGCAAATAACCCTGTCTGAGACCTACGTCCAGCAGTGTACGTTTTATAGACTGTTACAGTTACGATAAATGTTTATTCACGTAAGCAATTTTCTCGTTTCATTCAAAACAGAAAATTCCACAAATTTCCCTCTTAAATTTTGCCGTAGCAACGGATTAGTCAATTTAATATGAATTCTGCTCTGCCGGCACAATAGCGTGTCCTTGCGGACCGCGGAGGCTGCACCGAGTTTCCCCGCAGCTAAATCACGAGCGGCGGCTCTTTTCAATTGGAATTCCTCGCCGCCCTTAATTGTTTGTTGCTCAATTATTGTAATTCTTCGTCCGCAGGTTTCCCGCAGATCAAGAGCCCCTACAGTCCGACGGCGCAACCGCACTTGACAGGTCAGTGACTGACATAATAGCGTTTTTCGAACAACAGCAGAGAAGGTGACATCCGAGTTCTGGCTACGAATCATTTCCTTTAACTTTTATTCCATTTCTTGACTAATGTTCCACCTGATGATAAATAATTGCTTGAACTACTACAATTTGTTAGCACTAGAATTTCCTCCTGTGTTGTGGAGGCTTACATACATTAATTTCACAAGGATTAAAAAATTTTAGCCATACAAACACTCGTGTGGGATTCGAGCACCGGCCCGCAGCGCCGCAACTCATTGCTAAGCCACTGCGCCACGGAGCCGTAAATGGTGATGAAGGTATAGGAAGCCAGTAAACGACAAGCCGTTCCCAAAGGCATTCCATCTAAATCCTCAGAGGTAGAGGTATTCACTGACACATCAGATGGACTGTGTGCCCGTTTGTCACCCTTACTTTAATTCCTCCTTTAATTCACCCTTATAAATAAACCCTTACTTTAATTCTCGCCGGACGATCCCAACGTTGTTGCGGATTCTGTCGCTGACGTGGTACTTCAGGGTATGGAACTTTTTATTCATTCCTCTGTGGTGCCCATTGGAGGCAAATCTCAGCCATGGTTTGGTCGCTCCTGTAAAATAACATCATGCTATAAGCAGGAGTGCTACCAAGCCTGGGCTGACGCATCAACGTCCCGGGATGTAAACACCAGCGCTCTAAAAAAGAAGTATAATTCCGCCTCTAGGTCCTTCAAAAGAGTCATTGCCAAGGCAAAGTCAGAGCAAATAGGCAGAATTGGCGAGAAACTACGTGCATTCAGGTCTCTCGCCAAGGCTATACAGGGGAATTTCTGTCAGCCATCTCTTCCATCTCTACACAGGGAGGATGACTCACTGGCCCATACCGTAAAGGAGAAAGCCGATCTGCTGGGCTCTTTCTTTGCGTCCTCGACTCTCGATGACGGGGGGAGTACGCCGCCGACCATCCTCCGGTGTGAGTGCTCCATGCCGGAAGTGCAGTTCACACAGCGCTCGGTTCGCGAAGCACTCCTCTCCCTGGACATCCACAAGTCGAGTGGGCCCGACGGAATCCCCCAATTGTGCTGAGGACGTGTGCTCCAGAGTTGGCACCGGTTTTAACGCGTCTTTTCCGGTACTCCTACTTCCTAGGCGTAGTCCCGAAATCATGGAAGACGGCTTTCATCCACACGATCCCTAAAAAAGGCAACCGCTCAGACCCATCCAACTACCGGCCTATCGCCATCACCTCTTTGTTCTCCAAAACATTGGAGTCTATTGTTAACTGCTAGCTCATGAGGTACCTTGAGGATCACCAGCTGATTAGTGATCGCCAATACTGTTTTCGTCGTGGTCGGTCAGCTGGTGATCATCTGGTCTACCTAGCTCACAGATGGGCGGAGGCAGTAAAGTCCAAGGGGGAGGCATTGGCCGTTAGTTTGGACATTGCGAAGGCTTTCGATCGGGTTTGACACAAAGCGCTTCTTTCGAAGCTCCCTTCCTGTGGGCTTCCCGAGAAATTGTGCGATTAGATCACCAGCTTTCTTGCAGATCGGAGCATCAAGGTCGTTGTAGACGGTGCAAGCTCCGATTACAAGCCTATTAATACTGGTATTCCACTGCGTGCTATCGCCAACGCTGTTTCTTCTGCATATCAATGATATGTTGCAAACCCGTAACATTCATTGCTATGCAGATGACAGCACTGGTGATGCTCTTTACACCGGCCGTGCCAATATTTCTCGGAAAAACGTCTCCGAGTACCGGGACAAATTTGTGTCTGAAGTCGAGTCTCTGCTGAACAGAGTCTCGAATCTAATCCAGTTTAACCCCCAGAAGACACAAGTTTGCGCGTTAACCGCTAAAAAGAACCTCTTTGTCGTATCTCCTCGGTTTCAAGGCACTCCCCTTGTTGCTTCAGCCATTATCGGAATCCTCGGCGTCGACATATCGAGTGACGTGCAGTTTCGTGGTCACTTGGAAGAGAAGTGGCCTCTAAAAAGCTTCGCGTGCTCAGCAGAGCGGGACAGAATTTCATACCGGCACACCGCCTGCAACTTTACAAGGCTCAGGTTCGGCCGCACATGGAATACTGTTCCCATCTCTGGGTTGGGGCTCCTCAGTACCAGCTGCTTCCACTTGAGCGCAGAGCGTCTCGAATCGTCAACGACCGAGTGCTTTCCGATCGGCTCGATTCACTGGCGCTGCGAAGAGATGTTGCATCTCTTTGCATCTTCTTTCGCATATACCATGGAGAGTGCTCTGAAGAATTGTTCGGATTAATCCCAGCCGCCAAATTTCGTGAACGCACTACGCGGCAAACGTCCCGATACCATCCACACCATCTGGATGCTTGGCGGTCCACCACTGTACGTTTCAAAAGGAGTTTTCTTCCGCGTACGACCTCTCTGTGGAAAAGTTTACTGCGATATCTTGGGATTTGAATAAAAGATGTCTTCCTCGTAACGGCTTTAATTGCGGACTGAGCGGTGACGTTACAATAATAAGTAACAAATACCTTACACCTCCAGCCTTAAATATCTACATAATTATATTGAAATGAACTTAATAACTAATTTTAAACTTATAATTTAACCATACCATTAATCTAACATTGGAATTGGAATTACGAGTTTTCGGATTCGCCTGGAACGGGTCACTGGCAACGACGGTGGCGGTGGTTGTGGAGGAGTGGCGGGGTCTGGTACAGTCTCGCTGGGACATTGCGTATCTGCTACGTGCTCGGTATCCACGTCATCTTTTCCAGCAGAAACCGCCACTTCCGTTTGCAACTCTGAAGACGCATCTGCAAACTCATCCTCATCCTTTTCATCGACCTCATTAGTGATATCTGGACAGGTAACATGGGATAGGCGCGACCTACGTCTTATTTGATCAATATGTCTTTTAATAAGTCGACCGTCACCATTGTCGAGAACGTATCTTCCATAACCTTCTTTCTGGGCTACCGTGCCCTTGACCCATGTATCCCGGGTGCCGTAGTCCCTAATCCAGACGGTATCGCAAAAGGGGAAATTACGCAGAACACCACCCGCATATTCGACTTGACGCTGCTGAGCATCGAGCACACGCGCTTGCACCACGTACCCACCGCGAAGTAAATCCAACCGTGAACGCAAGGAACGTCGCTGCAGCAGCATCGCTGGGCTCTCACCCGTGGTGCTTTGCTTACTGTTGCGATAGCTTAGTAAAAAGGTTTGTAGGGCGGTATCAATATCTACGTCATCCCTATAAGCCTTTTTTAATTGCCCTCTTACACAGCTTATTTTCCGCTGCCCCATTAGATGCAATATGATACGCCGGTGAAAACCTTTGCTGAATGCCATTATTTTTTAAAAACTTTTAAATTCAAAACTTGTGAAAGGCGGTCCCTGATCAGACACTAGTTCTAAGGGCAAACCGAATCTTGCAAATATTGACCTCAACACCTTAATAATGGAAGTCGCATTCGTTCGCGCTACTTCAATAATTTCAAGCCATTTCGAGCTCGAATCTATTAAAACTAAATAAGTTTTACCTTTATACGGCCCTAGGAAGTCTATGTGAACTCTAGACCAGGGAGGCAAGTAGGGCCAGGGGTTAGGAGGCGCGCGCGGCGGGGCGTCCGCCTCAGAAGCGCAGGTCTCGCAGCTTCGGCATAGCGCTTCCACATCCGCATCGATGTTAGGCCACCACACATAACTCCGTGCCAGCCCCTTAGTTTTCACGATGCCCATGTGGCTGCTGTGTAGTTGTTTTAAAATAATTGGACGTAAATATGAAGGTATATGTAAGGCCGTTTAAATTTGGACGTAAGTGGGGGTATAGAATGGTAATTCTATACCCCCCACATAATCGATCCGTTATCTAAATATAGTTCATTGCGCCTAACAAAATAAGGTTTAACCTCTTCACCAGGGCAAACTGTCGGCCAACCCGATTTGATATAGGCGAAAATTCTACTAAGAATAATATCCTTTGAAGTCGCCTTCGTAACATCCTCATTAGTAACCGGTAAAAAAATTTCCACGAAGTTAATATAAGTAATTTCTCCATTTATCGTTTTTTTATTACTAGAAGAAATTGGTAATCTTGATAAACCGTCGGCGCAATTTTTATTAGACGTTACGTATTCGATATTGTAGTCGTAACCAGATAAAAGTACGGCCCAACGTTGGATACGCGAAGCGGCCATAACCGGTATTCCCGTTTTTTTACCAAATATGTGTGTTAACGGTTTATGGTCCGTACGCAAAATGAATTTTCGCCCATAAAGATACTGATGATATTTTCTTACACCGAACACAATAGCGAGCGCCTCCCGATTGATCTGCGAGTAAGCTCGCTCTGCAGCCGTGAGCGAGCGCGACGCATACGCCACCGGCCGCTCGCCCTCTGGCGCCAGGCTACTCGCATCACACGTCAGCACAATAGGCAAATCGCTAGTGTAATGCATTAGAATTTTACTAGAACTCAATAGTTCTTTTACCTTTTTAAAGGCTCTTTCACAATCGTCACACCAATCAAATTTTATTCCCGTACGCAATAAATTATATAAGGGTGCGAGAATAGTGCTGACATTTTTTACGAATTTTACATAATACATTATCATTCCTATATAGGCCCTTAACTCAGACACGTTCGTAGGAACGGGAGTGTCTACTATTGCCTTAATCTTATCCGGACAAGTGTGAATACCATCCTTACTAATTACATAACCTAAGTAATTGACTGATTCAGCAAAAAAAAACACACTTTTCCTTTTTAACTCAAAGTCCGTACGACTGCAAACGGTCAAATACTTTATGTAAATTACTAATATGCTCCTCTGTGTTGCACCCTGTAATAATTATATCGTCCAAAAATACGCCTACATACGGTAGATTAAATAACTGCTCTAAATGTTTTTGAAAAATGCCAGGACTCGATGATAAGCCGTATACTAAGCGGTTATACCTAAACAAGCCCTTGTGTGTGTTGATCACCGTATATTTGGTAGATACGTCAAGTACAAATTGTGCGTAAGCTTGTGAAAGGTCAATTTTACTGAACCGCTGCCCCCCTTGTAAGCGTACCAGTAC